CGACGACGGCGCGAGGGGGCATCTTCTTCTTAACCCTTTAAAAACTAAAGGAAGTGTTTCCTAATATAAGGACAACAATTTCCTTTCTTCTACCAATATGGTAAAAATAACTTTTCATTTGCACTTTGTAATGACTTTACATTTTTCTCTCCAAAATTGGTTCCCCTACTTTCATTGGTTCCTCCACTTTCCATTTTCTCTTTTTATTTCTCATTCACACCTTCCTAAACCCAACACCAATAGCAGTCTAATTGGTGTTTTTTTCAATCTTATATTGGACGCTTTGACAACAAACAACCTAGTTTTTGCATAACAAGGATATTTCAAGCAAAAGTCATTCTCTGAAAAAGGAACAAGGTCCTATGAACAGCAAGGGACCTGATCAGTTTTGAAGAAAGTCTCAAGTTGTTTTGTTGAGAGTTGTGTCTTGTGTCTAAACATTGTAACATCTATTCCTAGTATATAAAGGAACTTAGAATATTTCGATTGTAATTTTGTGAAGTTGAGTTCATGGCTAGAGTTAGCCGTGTTGTGTTGAAGTGTATGTTAACTAGAGTGAGTTAATATAGTGGGCAATTGAGAGTTATTGTTCTGAGTCTTGTAATAAAGGTGTTACAAGGTGTAGGAATAAGAGTTTAATCCTTTGTGATTACCAGAGTTTGTATTCACAAGTTGCTTGAAGAATAGTGGAATTGATTAAGAAATCATGTGTGACAGGTCGTGGTTTTTCTTCCCTTGAGCAAGGAGGTTTCCACGTGAACTTCCTCGTGTCTTTACTTTAAGCATTTAACTGTTTTTCCTATTATTAGTATAGTCAAGGGACCTGGTCTCTTAACCTGTAGTGGACTCGTGTAAACTATCAGAAGAAATTTCTGATTTCTCGGAAGTAAGTGTCGTAATACCGTCCAGATGCAGAGTTCCAAGGTATACGGTTGTAAGTGCTGTTAAGTTGGGTATCTCTCTTGGTGCAGTTCCAATTAGCTCATTTCTAGATAATGACAAGATTTCGAGTTTTCTACATTTTCCTAACTTTGGTGGAATAACGCCATCTAGGTGGTTGGCTTCCAAGTTTCGGAGATGGTCACATACAGTTGCTGGAAGCTTACCCGTAAATTATTGTAGGTGAGGTGAATCTTTTTTCAATTGTTGTAATGTTAAAGATTGATGGTGGTATATAGCCAGTAAGCTGGTTATATTCCATATCTAACGAAATCATGTACGAAGATCACCGTGTTCTCAAGGGATCTCTCCTTTGAGAAACTGGAGCCAGGACTTTTTAAGTGTTGAAGAGCATCTTCCATACTAATTCTTGCATCAGGTGACACTAAAGAGACACTGCATCTTCGCATCAATTCGTTCAACCCCTAGATGTACCAAATTAGCATCCACCACCTTATGAATCTCATTTGGGAAAGAATCACTTACCCAATGCCGTATGGTTCAAGTCTCCAGTTTATCTTTCATCACCTGGTCTGATTCTTGTAAACATCTCCCGATCTAGTTGAAGAATTTCAACATGTAAACTCGAAAATTGATGGAAAATGAAAACGACATGCTAGTGTGGTAGCCATCCTCTTCAGATGAGTTATATTTACAGCAATAAAACTGTAAAAATGCAGCTCAAGAAGTAATACAACATTCATTTCAATCAACAACTTGTTGTATACAACGGCAAGTAGATACTATGCAGAATTTGTTGTTACAAGAGAGGCTACAAGCAAAGGTGTGGAGCTTGTTTGGATTATGTAACGTCAGATTCCTCACTCTCAATCCCCCTTTCTTCTTAATTATCGCTATCAGCTTTACAAAATAAGTGAGAATCATGATATATATCGTTGAGTGTCACACCTATTTCTCCACTGAGTTTTTTGAATGAGATATTCAGGTATTCCAGAAACACAAGAGCTTCTAATTTCTTATAAGCTTGATCAATCTATTCAAACCCCCTAACGTGCTAGGAATCTTACCATTGATAGATCAACGAGTAGAGCAGACCTTAAATTTCCAATCACCGCGTGATTTTTCCCACTTAATAAATTTGATGAAATATTGAATTGTAATGAGATATTGAAGGATCCCCAAGCTTACAGGTAAGCTAGATTAAGTTTTCTTGAACTGGTAACATTCCCTAAGCATGGTGGCACTAAACCAGAAAACTCATTCTCTGACAAGTCTAATGATGCTCCAAGATTCTTTAAACTGCAGACAACCTCTGGCATGGCTCCTTCTAAATTGTTTCTATCTAGGTAAGCATGCCTTGGACAGTATTTGGAATATGTCCAGCCGACTCGTTGTTTAACAAATTCATCTTTGTCACTCCAGTAAGATTACCAATTTCTTCAGGAATGATGTCTTTTAATTCAAAGATTCAGACCAATTGATGCAGGAAGAACACTATCCAATGGATTCATCAAAAAACTGAGTTCTTTTAGTACCCTACATTTTGTCAAAGATGAAAGGAACCTCAGTGCTGAATCTCCAAAAAAGTTGTTCCCCTGTAAGTTCAAAACCTCAAAGGTATTCTACTACGTTACCGAGTGATTCAGGAATTGGACCTGTGAAGTTGATGTTTGAGAGAGTAAGGATTCTGAGTCTTGATGAATTTGAGATACAACCACTCATACTAATGGATTCACAATATGGTTTTTTTAGGCTGGACATAATGTTATAAGTTATCTTAAGTTGGCTAGCTCTCTTGGTACAGTTACAATTAATTTATTGACATATAATGACATGAATTGAAGTTTTATTGTTGTTTACATACAATCCATCTGCTTCAAGAGTCTTACTTTCCATTTTTCAAATTGAACTTATCGCTTTAATTTCAGATTGAACTCTCTCTCTATATATATATACACACACATACTAATTAGCTCATTTAGCTTAGAGCTAGATGTTTGCAATCTGTGTTTAAAAAAAACCAGAATTACTGATTTCAATAAACTTTGCAGAAACACGAAGTAACCAAAGTTTAATAAACCAGTAAGAATAGATGAACAGAAATTAATTGAACAAAACTAAAATATGTAAAAACGTACCACAATCTGAAAAAACAGAATCAGAAAAAGATCAAGTCCACTGAATGCACAGTGTCCCAAAACTCTGGTGTCAGCGAACCACTCAACAGCAAGTAAAGTACACGAAGAAATTTTGGGCAAGAAAAAGAAGAAGAAATCAAGAAAATTCGTAAAGGAATAAGTCTGAGGAATCAATGTATCTATAGGCAAGAGGAACTGGTTCCGAAAGGTTGCAATCCTTTCAGAATCCACACGACCATTCATGAAAAGTTTGCAACCTTTCAAATGGTCATGGTTGTTTCTGAAAGTTGCAACCTTTCAAAACAGTCACTTCCAACGGCGAGAAATTCAAATAAAACGGGAAAGATTTAAATAAAACGTGTCGCGCGTGGATCCGAGTCGGGTCGGGTCAATTAACTAATTAATTGAAACGCTTCGGTTAATTAACTAATTAAAACGTTGGCCATTTAAGTTAATTTAATTAATTAAATAAATAATTAACTAAAATAATTAAAACAAACTTTGTCCAAAAAATAATCTGTCGATCATTTTCCAAAGCCGAAGCCGAGTCGAGCGACGACGGCACGAGGGGGGTCCCTCTTTCCAACCCTTTTAACAATTAATAGGAGTGTTTCTATATTTAAACTCTCCTATTTTTCTTTCCACCACCGATGAGGGACAAATGCCTTTTCAATAAAGTATAAGAGGACTTTTCAAGTTCTCAACTCTTCAAGTTCCTAACTTTTCAAGTTCCCCTCTTTTCATCTTTCCTCCATTTCCCATTACTCTTGCTACATACCCAACACTAGATTTAATGGATTTTAAATCAAGTATAAATGTGTAAATCAAAGTTGAAGGTCTTACACAGAGCCAAAATAATGCAAAACAGAAAATGGATATATGTAATAGATCAAACTTATTATGAACACTCTAATTAACTCTATATGCTGAATTCCCCGAGACTCTTCGGTCTAAGCTTATAATTCCCATTTGAACATGAAATTAGTCAGTTGGTCGATTAGAGATGTGGATTTCAACCAGGAATGCCAAATGGATGACATCCCCTCCTCTGTCCCTGTACAACTGATGACTTCTTTTAATATACGATCCCTATGGAAAAGCTCGGTATTGAATGGACATTCTTTACCGCAATTCTGCTTCTGTGCACACCCTTTTAGTACAGACAACACCTGTATTTAAACAAAAACATATAAACTACAATGATGTTTATGAGACGAGTAAATCATACTAATATCAATCCTTTAGAATAGTTAAACTCTAATGTCTTAAATGTCTACCAGCATGAGAGATGATTATTGAAAGGATTTCCAGGTAAAGCAAGAAATTACCTGGAGAACTTTGCTATTTGTACATGGAATTATGGACATGATCCTGGGACAGTAGCGCATTAACCTTCCAATGATCGATTCAACACGCAGTATGGGTGCAATGAATATCACGACATCATGACTTGGGGGAATAACAATTTCTCTTGGATTTTCATAAATAATGATGTTCTTTGTCTCCAAGAATTTTGTGAATGGCATAGCTTAAACCAAATTCAACAAGTGATGCATAAATCAAAGGCACAAAAAGAATGGAAAGTACCTTGCGGCAAAATATCGCTAATATCAAACCTTTAGAATAGTTGAACTTTTGAACAAAATGATGAAGATTTGTGTACCAACTGTCGTCCACTGATCCAAAGTTTTGTGATCTCCTGTATTCAGGTTAGTCAAAAATATAGAAACAGAAAAAAGATGAAGAAATAGACAGAATGAATTTTAATCCGAGTCCACAGAAATCACTGTGTTTCCTTAAGAAATTTAATCCCCTCACTGTACCCGAGGTTGCAGATTAATTCCTCCCAAGATAAAACGGATTAACCTGTTAAAGAAGTAGCGGTACCTCAAACTTCAATAACTTCAGCGAACGCAAGAACAGCAACAAGAGCACACACAGACTCAGTCGATCGACAATTTTATTTATGCAAGAAAATGTATGCAGAGAGGAAAAAAATTTCATTGTTTGAAAAAACGAAAAAGATCTCTTATTTATAGCCATATGCAGCAAGGAACGCGTCTGTTCAGAAAAATCTGTTCAGACCCATTTTTTCCAGAACATTGTGTCCTTTGGGAAAAGTAACGATTTTTCGGAAGGAAAACCGT